CAATATTTGAATGAGTGACTCCACACATTTTAAAGACCACAAAATTTCAGCATCAGCGATGCTTTTGGAAAGATTACTGAGATTTTGAAGCGATGGTGACTGCCCAGATTGAACTTCCTCTGTTTTGTTTCCATCCTTGGATGCTTGTGTTGTGGTATTGGTTGCAGGTGTAACAAAGCTTGATATTGGATTCAGGCAAGAGATATTTTTGAAGAGCGTTTGGTGTCTAGAACTGTTTATGTGTGACTTTAATGCTGCAACCCCCATACTCGCCAAACTGAATTTACGATTGCAAACCTTGCAGAAGGCATTGTGTCTTTCACCTTTCACACTTTGCAGCCAGTTCCTATAGTCATTCTCAGTTAGCCACTGGGGATTAAATACGCATTTCCCTCCAGCAGGCATAATTGGAACATAAGTGTATTACCTGAATATAAAAAAGAAAGGACATTTTTGCCAACATGATTTATGTACTAAATTTATTCTGTTGAGGATAGCTTTCATTACAATGCAATGTTCAGTAGTTTTCACAACAATTCTTTTTGTCCTTATTTCTGATGAAATGTTACACTCACATCACATTGATTGCACAAATCCCTAAAAGACTCCCTATTATGATCAAAGCTTGACATCTCAAGGAAAATTAAACGATTAGTATTTTCCAAGATAGAGTTTACATCACTCATATTACGATCAATCCCTGAAAATCCTAAATAAAACACTAATGGTGTGTGTTTGGCAAATGCCACAGCATCTTGAGCAAGTAAATTGATGTTGTTCAGAGAAAGATAAAATAAATTTTGCAACTTTAGTATCGCGTTAGAAAGATGTTTGAATTCTATGTTCTTACAGTTGTCCAAAATAAGAGTTTCAATGTTATGCTGAGTATTGCCATTTAGCAAAAAGTCACTAGAGGATAAATCTTGCCAACTTAAATCCAAGTACACAAGCTTTGAAGCAATAGCTAAGTTCTTCTCTAGAGTTTCAGTAATTCTTACTAACGAAGGGCGTTCAGTTTTAATGTGTCGCAGAGAAAAAAACACAAATCCATGGGAATGCCTCATAATTTTTTCAAAGTGCTTCTCTTCCAAACGTGTTATGTCCCATTCATTTAAAATCACATCTCTCCACAATACATTCGCATTGAAAATCTTGTTCCATCTCTTGTTCACAAAGCACAACTTTGTCAGGATTTCTTTTCTAGAAATATATTTCAACATTTCTTCAACCAGTTAATCTGGCAACCCTGTACAAAATAAGTGGTTTTTACTGTCTTAATAAACTTAAGGACTTAACTTACTTAAGTTATTTAAGCTTCGTATGCACGAGGCTTTGTACGATTAGACAACAATCCCATCAGTATTTTGCTAAAAACATTGTTGTTTGCGATCAAGATTCATAGCTTTGCAGACATATGAATTCTTACCTTGAATTAAGTTCACTTTTTCAGCCATTTGTTGTTTTTAAAAGTGGAAAATTCCAAAAACTGCAAAAAGACTTCACATACTCAACATCCATTCATTGCAGCGATGCTGAGACGACTCACATGTTCGTCATGAACTGAGGAATCATGGGTAGCACTATTCCCAGTACTTTTCGGCGTTTTTGCCACAGGAAATCCAACGAAGAAGAAGAAAGCTTCTTTAAGCGTTTGTTTGCAATAATGGCGGCACATTTTTTCCAAGGCGCTCTTGAACCAGATAACTTTCTATATTTTTTCTCTTTTATTGTTTCCAATATATTTTTTCACATTTAATGCTATTTAATTAAAAAAATTCAAGGAGTTTTTAAGGATTTTTTTTAAATTTCTTATTTTTAAGGAGTTTTCAAGCGCCCTTAAATTTGCAAAATATATTCAAGTACTTTTCAAGGAGTTTAAGGAGTAGCACGAACCCTGCCTCTAATATATCTTCACTGAACAATTCAACAAATACTTCTTATCATGTTTTGTAACTTTATTTAATCTTACCCTCTTCGTATTAAGCTTACAAATATTCTTTGTAACTCTTCTAACCTTCACATAACGACGTAGCCAGGAGGACTTCCGTATGCTTAGACGAATACGCTCATAAACAAATTCCTTCAGTTTTCTGTCCTTTCTTCTGAGACGTTTCAGAGTAGCTTCTGGTATTCTACTGGGTTCTCGATCACGTCTAAATTCACGGTTGCGTTTACATGTAAACATAATATGACATAACTCGTGTGATAGAGCAGGTTTCGCTTGATATTTCTCGCTAAAAGGTTCACTCGTAAAGGATCGCTCGTAAATTGATCTCTCGTAAAGTTCGCGGAACGACCCGTTCCCAAATCGCTCCACAAGTTTTAGTGCGGTTCTACCGCGAACGGTGTGTGACTTTGTATATACATTGGGCGTAATAGCCATCGAATTTCTTTCGGGTACATCAAGCAAGGAATTGTCCACGAAGGCAGCCATTGCTTTCTTGCTTTAAACCATGCGCTCTAGGGTTCATTCTACGCGTGCGTTTACATTTTATGCATGCGCTGTAGTGGAACTGCGTTTTGTGACTGAACGGGAAAAAAAACAAACAAAGCTGAATTTATACCTCGGGCGTTTCTTTCGGAGGCCCGAGTAAAAACGAATGAAGAATTCAAAGAATAAGTTTTCCTTAGAGGACTTCCGGCGAGAACATTGATTCTAAAGCCAAAGATGATAAAAAATGTAGAAAATAGTACTGGCTAGTTATGGTGAAGGTATTTCGATATTTCAGGGATGCTACAACCATGATGTCGCCGAACCCGCAACTACAGTTGTTCATGTTTGGAATTTAATTTTGAACACTGTCCAATCGGCCCTTTCTTACAGCAAAGTTGTCTAATCTAACTTTTTCCCCGACAGCGTCTCTTCGATTTACACTTATTCTCAGGCTCCTCTACCTATTTTCATGCTTGTCTTCGTTGTTCAGAGTCATTGCCATTTAAACTAACACTAAATTGCTCGCGTAGACCAAGGGCCCGGTTGTTCAAAGGACAGATAACTCCATCAAACAGATAAATCGTTATCCAGCAGATAAGTGTTAACACTAAACCTACTGTATTATCTACATGATAGGGATTCTCCCAGCAGGCTTTTGATAAAAAATAGAATGATTTCTTGTTCTATTTTTCTTTCAGAAGATGGCAGACAATTTAACTATGTTTTCGAATCGCACAAGTCAAATGAGCTGCAGACAAGAAGTATTGGACAGCAAGTCGTATCACTACGATCTTAACATCTCTATTATTGTGATAAACACACCGTTTGCTATATTTGCTGTCTTAAGCAATCTCTTGGTTATAATCACAATCTGTAAGTCTCAAGAACTTCGAGTCCCAGCCAACATTCTTCTTTGTAGTTTGGCCGTAACAGATCTGCTAGTTGGTTTGATTACTCAGCCTCTGTTTATTACCTGGCGCTTGATGTTACACTACTCATCAACCATCTGCAACTCCGAAGTCGTTCATTCTCTATACGAAGCTTTCCTTCATTTGTGCACCGGCAGCTCTTTCCTCTGTCTAGCATACCTCAGTACTGACCGTTTCCTGGCGGTATCCAAGCCGTTACATTACCGTGCAAACACCACAACAACAAAAGTTGCGCGTAATATGATCATACTGTGGTTTGTATGGATTGGTATCGTTGTTCTCCGCTACTCGGGTATTGACGAAAAAACCAATGCAACCATTACCTCGGTCATTGCCGGTACTCTGGTAATATATCTTGTTATTGCTCAGATAGCTTTAATAGTCAGCGTCAAGCGCAACAGTATTCATGATTTGCTTTCAGAGGAAAGCGCCGCTGTCATCGCTTCCAAAAGAGAAGCACGGATAGCGTCAACCATTATTTACATTTTCTTAGCTCTCCTGGTTTTCCTCCTTCCCGCTGTTGTTGTTCAAATTGTTTCGGGATTCACCAGCAGTAATCAGAGTAAAATCGAGTTGAACTTTGCCATTTCAGCTCTTTTGATAAATTCTTCTGCTAACCCACTAATCTACTTCTGGAGAGGCCGAGACATGCGCAAAGCAGCACGTCTTCTTTTCCCGGGCCCTACGACTAAGAGTGGAGCAGCTGATAGCAATCGGTCGTCTAATAGAACCAGCGGGGATAATAGCGGAAGGTCTCTTGAGGAAACTATATAGATAAATTCTGTTTAAAAGAATCCTCATCGTAACCAAAATGCGATATACATTTAGACATTGTACATATGTCGTAGTTTTAAAAGATTTAAAATTCATGTGATTTCCCCCGTGTTCCAGGTACCCTACCATACTCTCAAAAGAAAGAAAACGGTGAAATAACACAACTCGTTTGAAATGAATTCAAACTGCAATCACTTTTAACCTCAGCATTTCCATGTTAAAACATAGTCCTTCCTTTTACACTATCTTAACGGTGTTAAAACGCTATCTTGATACAAAGAGACTTTGTTGTGACTTAGAACGCCGACATTGCTTAACTGTAGCTACATGTTTTGTAACTTAGTCACGAGATGAAACAAGGAGTACTCAGCAGAGCAGGCTTTATATAAAAGTCTGGAGATACGCTATATATCCTATAAATCCTATATATCCTATATATCCCAAAGAAATGAATCACGAATATTTGTAGTCTTTTTGAAGGGATAAAAACGGGTTTGCTTTTATCCATGATCTTGTCGAGGGCTTCAGGTTTAAGTGAGGGGAGAAAAATTCTTTTTCCAGCCTTAATCGGACATTGACGAACTCAAGGTAGAAATTAAAGTTATTACCTGCCGTAACCAGACATCGCGTGATTTTTTTAGTGTGACGGTAAACGCATTTTCCATTACGAGGTGAATGTTTTGGCTTGAAGTTCATATGATCAAGTGAGGTGGTGTAATATATTTCGCATGAGTTATGTATAACTTTTTTATTATGCCTATTAATGACTCTACTATATCTTTCCCCGCTTTTTGATCTTGTATATTTTTGATTATAAAGATCACTCTAAGAGGTTTGAAGGAGATTTTGTCATGTAGCTGTAGGTTCCGATGAATAACATTTGCTTTGATAAAAGTTTTGATCAGTTTGTTATGAGACTATTCATTTTTTCTTATTCAGCACAGAGACAGACCACTTTCATAAATGGCTGCCGGATTCTTTTGTTTAAATTTAAATTACCCCTTGTGGCCTCGCTTGAGATAACGAATTCTTTTGAATTTTGTACTAGAGAACGAGGCCAGAAGGGCTAATTTAAATTCAAACAAAAGAATATTAATCCCGCAGCCATTCATGAAAGTGGCCTATGAGATGGAAACATTTAATATCCAGTTTCTTACATGTACATTTCAGCATATGCTATTGAGTTAGTTTGCTTCTTTTGGCTCTCCTGCTGGTAGGAAGAAGAAGGAATAACTTGTTACGACTGTAACACCGTAGCGTCACCGCATCTTTTTTTTTCTGTGGTTCCTGTTGCATACAGGATACATGTTTACGCTGTCGTCTAAAATTTCTGGACGACACCTAAAATTTCTAGGCTTTTGAAATAGCACAATAAATTTTTCTGAATTTCTACACTAGCAAAAAAAGAAACAATTAAAATAACGCACGTGAAAATTGGAGGGGTAGTAACGTTCATATAAGGTAAATCATTCAAATTAACGTAAACAGTATGGTTAATCGAACGATAACTGTCAATCTCACCCCCGAGCTTATCAGAAAACCGATGTAAGTTAAGGGGTAGTATTTCTTGACCCTTCACCACACTAACGTCGTTTCATTATCTAAAAAGCTTGTATTTAACAATTATTCGACAATATTCACCGAACCTGAGGCGAATAATTTTTTTAGTATAATTTCAGAGCTGAACAACAGAGAAATTAACATTTTTTAGTATCATTTCAGAGCTGAGTAAACGGTTTCCAGCAATCTGATTGGTCGAGCGGTTCCTTATATGACGCTATATAAACCGCTCCACGCGGTTTATATAAAATTTTAAAATAAAGTGTTAATAAATGTTATTAAAATGTTATGATTTTAGAAATTTCTCTGTTGCTCAGCTCTGAAATTATACTAAAACAATTATTCGCCTCAGGTTCGGTGAATGTTGTCGAACAATCCCCTCGACTTCGTCTCGGGGATTATTCGACGATATTCACCTCGCCTTCGGCGAATAATTGTTATATATAAACCGCGTGAAGCGGTTTATATAGCGTCATATAAGGAACCGCTCGACCAATCAGATTGCTGGAAACTCTTTGCTCAGCTCTGAAATTATACTAAAAGTTGTTTTATAGCATAACTAAAGCAAAGCGCGCGCTCTGATTGGTTAATTCAGCATCTACTATTTGCCCATGGCTGTATGCTGCTGACAGGTGTGCTAATATTTCCAAAGCAAATATTTTGACAGACATTGTTTCCAAAGTAATGTCCGACGTCCCTTCAGGCAGAAATGCGAAACTGTCTTCACAGTGGTCTGAAGATGAAATAGACAGTCCATCCTTTGGCCTGTTTGGGAGCATTTTTCCCGACCCACCTGCAAAGAGATTCGCAAGTTTAAGCGAAAGCGCACTTTAAGAGCTTGTAAGTGAGCGACACTCAAAAAAGACGAAAGAAGTCACAAACTGGTCTGTGTCAACATTTAAAGGTAAACAAAAAGTTATTAAAGCTGAGTTGAAATTCATTAATAGGCTTTACGAGAAAGAGAAAACGGAATAAATATCTGAAGACCTATTAAATATTTAGAAATTGTTCCTGTGTAAACCCAATTAAATGCTAACGCGTAAACAATGTCGACGAAATCACATTTTCAATTTGCTGTTTTCGCGATTTTAAAAAGCGTTTACTCTGATAACAGATGAATATAAATTGAAAAGTTAAATTCCATTTCAAACCAAACTTTGATAGTCCGTTTCTTTTTGTTATTTCCAGCTTGGCGTACAGAAAAACAAATTCAAACTCCGCTTGAAGCGATGAAAATAGGTCAGCTTGATCAAAACCTGCGCAGATTTTATGCAGAAGCGAGAACTAAAAAGGGCGAAGATTACAGTAGATCGACCTTGCTGGGATTTCGTCACTCGATAGAAAGATGCCTCGATGCCCTGCCATTTAGCAGAGGCCTACAAATTTCAACTGACCCAAGATTTACAGATCAAACCTCATGCTCGATGCGCAAATAAAAAATCTAAAACGAAGCGGCAAAGAAAATGTCTCGCAGAAACCTGCTATCGAGGAAGAAGACCTCCAGAAGCTGAAATTACACGGTGTTGTCCTTGTCCTCACCGCTTTCCTTCCTGAGAAATGTTTGGTTTCATGTCGTCCTGTTTTTCTGCAGACGAGGACTTGAAGGGCAAAGAAGCTTGACAACGAACAGCTTCAAGTTTGAAACCGATGCGGTTGGAAGAAATTACGCAACCATGACTTACGATGAATTATCAAAGAATCATCCCGGAGGACTAAAGGACGTTGAAAGCACAGAAAAAGAAGCCACAATGTAGGAGACCGAAAACCAAGGTGACGGCTACAAGGCCCTCAAATTGTATCTCTAGAAAGTACATCTAAAGTGTACTGCGCTTTTCCAGTATCCGAAGAAAAATAACATGGCTCTGGATGCCGTTTGGTACGAAGCACGACCGCTTGGAATAAACAGCCTCGCCAAAATGATGAAGACCATCAGCGAAGAAGCAAGTTTATCCAAAATCTACACAAACCATTGTGTAAGGGCCACTGCCATCTCTCTCTGGTCCAACGCCGGGATTTCAAACCGCCACATCATGGCCATTTCTGGACACCGCAGTCATGAGCAGTCTCTTCTAAGCTACAATTCGAGGCCTTCGACCTCACAGCTCCATAACTGCAGCCAAGTCTTGTCGAGAGCCTTTTCTCCTTCTGCCATCAATCACAGCCAGCCATCAGAAACTTCTCAGCAATCCAAGTCGTTTCAGACCAAACAAGTGGCAACGAAATCGCTCTTCGGCGAATGCACTATTCAAAACGTGCAAATTGTTTTCAACGGTTCATCCTCTGAAATTCAGTCCATTTTTTAAATGATTTTGGATGGTTGTCAAATTTCTCCAGTTTGTTCATAATTCTGCTGAACTCTTTCAACGGTTGTTGGATACAGACCTTATAAAGAGGATTTTGATCGATATTTCGGGAAACGTGATTAAACTTCATCGAGTTGCTGGTGTGCAGTCGGTTGTCATGAATGAATTTTCGCGCGCTTGTTTTCGCTTGTCATGTAAGACTACACGAACATTTTTTTGTGATGTAGTTCAATAAAAGCACTTCTGTTGTTCCAATGTCTTAATGTTATGTTATAAAACAAATGGTGAACGCCATAGCGTGCACTATTGATGCACTTCGGATGCACTCTGGATGCACTTCGGAGGTTTGCTAAGCACTCAAGAAGCTAGAGTCGCACGAGGCGATAGCCTCGTGCGACTTTTACGCTTCTTTCATGCTTAGCAACCTCCCGCGTGCATCCCTAACTCAATAGTGCACGCTATCGCGTTCACCATTTGTTAAGTAAATATGTTTGACCTGCGGTTCCTTTATTTTTACACTTTAGCCGGAACTTGAAGGCTGACTGCTTTTTGAGGCTGAGGTGTTGTGGCGACTTACAGAATCTCTTGATCGAATGTCGTCTGCCAATAAAGATAAAGTGTTAACATAAAATGTGCCAAAACAAAGAGCTACTGGCATTACGTAATGCTTACATAACGTTACGCAAAAACGTGAACTTAATTGTATAGAAACAGAACATTAGAATAGTAGTAGAGTAATAATAATAATAATGATATAAAATTATTTCGCGGTTGCTTGACAATAAATATAAATACAAATTATAGTTGCTACAAAACCTTTCAGCTTGTTTGACCATGTGTCCAGTTGAAGCATTTCACCGTTTTTGACCATTTTAATCAGTTAAACGATTTCAGCTATTTCGTGCATTTTGTCCAAATGAACCATTTCAGCTAGTTACACCATGAACCATTCAGCTAAATTTTACATTTTGTATGGTTGAAGCATTCCAGCATTTTTCGCCATTTTACTAATTGAACCATTTTGAGCTAGTTTGGGCTTTTTGTCCAGTTAATTCATTTCAGCTTGGTTTGACCATTCTAACCAGTTGAACCATTTCCGCTAGTTTACAAAATTTTAGGTTTTCCAAGGATCTGCTGGCTTTTAAAATTGTTGAAACATCTATAATTTCTGAAGGTCATCCATTTCCAAAGATAAGTCGTTCATGAAATAAGAAGAAGTGGACCAACGATGCTCCCCTGGGGTAAACGACGTGAATATTGAGAAGATTTGAGGTTGCCACTTTGAATTTACCAGCTTCAAGTCGTTCGATTTACTCCTTTACCCCGAGGATGGAGAAAGAGCTCAAGAAACCTTTGCGACTCAGAAAACCGTTAACACCTTAATATGTCTCCAATGTTAATTGTGTACTAACCAACAGAACACGGTCTATGAATGGAGGAAATCACAAGTAAAGTATTGGTTCATACTTATCGTACGAGTATATTATGGACACACACCAGTTCTCTCTTGCCCTCCAAACTTCCGGCCTGCTATCGGTTACTACACAATTAATATTCTAGAAATACTTTAGGTTTCACGGCTTTCTGAGTCACACAGTAATCGATCTAAGGATCGACATATAATAATTTGAAAAAATAACTATAATTGGGAAGGTAACTTGCGATGAAGTCAACTTTCAGAAATGCCCACTATCTTTTAAGTATTTGCTTCTTTAAGCCTTATGGGCCTTACTCAGTTGTCTTAAAGCTGGTACGTTTTAATATGTACAGCCAGGCAAGAGCTGAACCTAACGGATTCCGCCAAAACTGCTGTAAAGCGTATTAGAGCATTTATATGATGAATGCGCTTTATAAATGCAGGAATATTATTGATATTTTTATACATTTTTATGTGGCGGTTGGACGGAAACTAAAGAGCAGAACTTACAAAGAAACTAAAGAGCAGAACTTACAAAAGTTGGCGGATGTACTTTACGGACTCATTATATACGTCACAGTCC